TTCACCTAGCATACAGCAGCGCAGCTTGGCTATGGCTGCGTGCTCCCTCCTACTCGCCCGTGAGAGTGTGAGTGCCAGCCAGCCAGTGGATTGCGCAGCAGCGCTCACGCAGCATGCAGCCAGCACCCGAATGCCGAATGAGGAGGCAGGCCCTTTCCCTATATCGAAGTGGCCTGCCTGCGTCCAGTCCAGGAAGCTTCCGGTAAGCCCCGGTAGGCACAGGCCCAGTCACGAAGAGAGCAGGCCTTAGGCCTGAAGTGGTTGCATGCGCCCAACTGCTTTCGGCCTGTGTTTGGCCCGGTACCTGTATCCAGCCCAGGGCCTGCTTCACATTCATTTACACAGGTGGCCCAGGGCTTGGATTCATTCAACCAACTGGCGCAACGCAACTGTCTGAATTTCCCCGATGCGGGGTACCCTGAAGAATGAGGCCCGAAGGGCCTGTCGTGCCTGCCTTCACTTAGGGCGGCCGACCTTGTTGCAGATAGGGCCCTGTAGGGGCTAAGCGGGCGTAGCCTCGCATTCCCTTCTCCATATCTTCGTTTGTCCTCTGCGAAGATCAATCTTGAGCCATCTGGCGCTTTCCTTTCAATACATCCTTCTCATAGCGGGCAACGATTTGAGGAGCGGTCTGCATCAATTCCTCCCGAGTAAACCAGCGGTCCTCTTTTGGATCCGTGTGATGTCTGAAGTGAACACGGAACTGCAGTTTTGGCTTTGGAGGACGTCCCCTTCCTGGAGGCTTCTGAACGGGCATCTCCCTGTGGTCGACGATATCATCKATGTCGACTTCTCCGTCCATGGTTGGGGGCAGCATAGAYYGACGAGAGGGAAACTGATCAGTTTCCTCGAACGCAGCGAGCTTAGAGGCGTGAAAGACAGGGTGAGTTCTKAGATGACCAGGGATACGGATGACATATGATGGAYCATCAGGATCTGTCCCCACTACGTCTAGAACTTCCCAAGGCCCAAAGTACTGAGGCATGAGTTTGCGGGATATCCCGAACTCCTGTCCTAGTTCTGAAGACTTGACCCAGACTCTGTCCCCAACCTGAAATGTAGAAGGGCGGCRGTGTCTATTCTCAGACTCTATCATTGCTGCCTGCGCCTTCTSCATGTGTTYTACAGCCTCCTGCATCTTCTGTTCATATCTATAGGCGAACTCCAAAGTGCCCGGTGTAGCAGTTGGCTGGTTGTCTGGAAGTAGGAAGTCTAAGGGCARTCTAGGYTTGAATGWCAGTTGTAGACTGTTAGGACTCATCCCGGTAGCACTGTGTACAGCGTTGTTATATAAACTGGCGACTAAAGCAAGCTTTTCGTCCCAGTCTACCTGATTGGGCTTGATGTAGTGCCTCAAYAGGTGTTGCACAGCGCGGTTCATTTGTTCAGCCTGGCCATTAGCTTCTGGATGATTTCCAGAAGTCATCTGCAGTTGAGTTCCTTGTTCAGCTGCAGCGGCCTTCCACAATTCACTCGTGAACCTGACGTCCCTGTCACTGACTATTGACTTCGGCAGTCCGAAGTCTCTGACCCAGTTCTCTTTAAATAACCTGATAACGTACTCGGTCTTTGTTGTTTCTGGCATAGCTATTAATCTAGCAAACTTACTAAACCTATCCACGATGACAAAGATCTGTCTCATCCCACTCTTGCTGGTGACCAGCGTATCCATGAAGTCCATGGACAAACTTTCACCCGGCCTTTCCGGAATCGGAAGGGGCTTGAGCAGCTCAAGAGGAGCCTGAGTACGGGGCTTGTCTCTTTGACATACTTGACAAGTTTCCACGTACAACTGTGCATCTTTCATCATCGT